TTTAAAAATTAGCTGGGCGTGGTGTTCACATGGGAAATAGGAATACCTAAACAGGCACAAGCCTCTGTTCCCAGCTACACAAGAGGCTGAGGTGGGAAAACTGCTTCAGCCCAGGAGGTTAAGGCTGCAGGGAGCTGTGTTTTCACCACTGCACTCCAGCCTTGGTGACAGAGCAAGACCCTGTTTCAAAAAAAAGAAAAGAAAGTATCAACATTAAATTACTGCTTATTTTCTCAGCATTGTCTCCATTTGTTTTCTTTCCAGCACCACCTGCCCTAGATTAAAAAGCATAGTGGTGTTGCCATGACAGTGATCTAGCCTTTTTTAGAGTTTTTATCTGGATTTACGTTCATTCCAAAGTGATTCATTTTCCGGTGCTGTTTCTTCTTCAGCGCCAACACTGGCCCCACTAGCTAATAAATGTTAGACTGACACTTAAGTGAGAAGTGGAGGGCAAATAATCCCATCCAAAACCACCACCTGATTTTTACCCTTCCTTCCTTCCCTTCTTCTTCCTTCCTTTCTTTTCTTTTTCTTTCTCTTTCTTTCTTCTCTTTCTTTTTCTCTTTCTTCTTTCTTTCTTTTTCTTTCTTCTTTCCTTCTTTCTGTCCTCCCTCGCCCTCTCCCCTTCCCCTTCCCCCTCTTTCAATGGAGTTTTCCTCTTGTTACCCAGGCTGGAATGCAGTGCTGCAACCTCTGGTCACTGCAACCTCCACCTCCCGAGTTCAAGCGATTCTCCTGCCTCAGCCTCTCGAGTAGCTGGGATTACAGGCGCCCACCATCATGCCTGGCTAATTTTTGTATTTTTAGTAGAGACGGGGTTTCACTACATTGGCCAGGCTGGTCTGGAACTCCTGACATCACGTGATCCTCCCGCCTCAAATTCATTCATTCGTTCTTTCTTTCTTCTTTCTTTTTTCTCTCCTTCTTTCTTTCCTTCCTTGTTTCCTTCCTTCCCTTCCTTCCTCCCTTCCTCCCCTTTTCTCTTTCGCTCTTTTGAGACAGAGTCTTGCTTTGTCGCCCAGGCTGGAGTGCACTGGTGCAATCTTGGCTTCTTGCAACCTCCGCCCCTTTCAAGCAATTCTCCTACCTCAGTCTCCTGAGTAGCTGGGACTACAGGTGCACACGGCTTTGCCCAGACAACTTTTTGCATTTGGTAGAGATGGGGTTTCACTGTGTTTCCCAGGCTGGTCTCGAATTCCTGAGCCCAGGCAATCCGCCCACTTCGGCCTCCCAAAGTGCTAGGATTACAGGGGTGAGCCACCGTGCCTGGCCAATTTTTTCTTCTCTTTAATAATATTTTATTACTTTTTGCCTGTGACACCACCCTCAGGAGATCCCGAGAATATGTGTTCCAACAACTTGATTTTTTAAAATAGGGGTTATTTATTTTTTCTCCAACTTTCAGTGCGAGAACACATGTGCAGGATGTGCAGGTTTGTTACACAGGTAAACGTGTGCCATGGCAGTTTGCTGCACAGATCCTCCCCTCACCTAGGTATGAAGCCCAGCCTCCGTCAGCTATTCTTCCTGATATTCTTCCTCCCCAACCCCCACCCCACTGACAGGCCCCAGTGTGTGTTGTTCCCCAGCATGTGCCCATGTGTTCTCATCATTCAGCTCCCACTTACACGTGAGAACATGTGGTGTTTGATTTTCTTTCTGGCATTAGTTTGCTGAAGATAACGGCTTCCAACTCCATCCATGTCCCTGCAAAGAACATGATCTCATTCTTTTTTATGGCTGCAGAGTATTCCATGGTGTATACATACCACATTTTCTTTTTCCAGACTATCATTGATGGTCATTTAGGGTTTTGTTTTTTTTTTTTTTTTTTTTTTTCTTGAGACAGAGTTTCGCTCTTGTTACCCAGGCTGGAGTGCAATGGCGCGATCTCGGCTCACCGCAACCTCCGCCTCCTGGGTTCAGGCAATTCTCCTGTCTCAGCCTCCTGAGTAGCTGGGATTACAGGCACGTGCCACCATGCCCAGCTAATTTTTTTGTATTTTTAGTAGAGACAGGGTTTCACCTTGTTGACCAGGATGGTCTCGATCTCTTGACCTTGTGATCCACCCGCCTCGGCCTCCCAAAGTGCTGGGATTACAGGCGTGAGCCACCGCGGCCGGCCGGTCATTTAGGTTGATATCATTCTTTGCTATTGTCTACAATGCTACAGTGAACACACTCGTGCCTGTGTCTTTATAATAGATTTATATTCCTTTGGGTATATATCCAGTAATGGGATTGCTGGGTTGAATGGTATTTCTGCCTCTAGGTCTTTGAGGAATCACCACACTGTCTTCCACAACTGAACTAATTTACACTCTCACCAACACTGTAAAAGTGTTCCTTTTTCTCTGCAGCCTTGCCAGCATCTGTTGCTTTTTGACTTTTTGATAATCGCCATTCTGACTGGCATGAGATGGTATCTCACTGTGGTTTCGATTTGCCTTTCTCTGATGGTCAGTGATGTTGAGCGTTTTTTTAATATGCTTATTGGCTGCATGTATGTCGTCTTTTGAGCAGTGTCTGTTCATGTCCTTTGCCCACTTTTTAATGGGGTTGTTTTTTTTCTTGTAAATGACAACCCGATTTTTAATAAGGTGGTATTTAAAATAACTGCACAAAGGTCCCCAAATCACAGGCAGAAGTCCTAATGTCCAAGAGACAAGTGGCTTACAAAGTCCTGAAAAAGATGGGGATATGTCTATTTCCCATGTAAACACTGTTTACAGGTAGTTGTAAAATGTTGGGATCCTGAAGAAAAAATTTTGTATTGTTTAAAATTTTGTGGATAAAAATGAGACTCTCTCTTTAACATTTTTATCTTTGGTCAGGGCGCAGTGGCTCATGACCATAATCCCAGCACTTTGGGAGGCCACAGCAGGAGGATCCCCTGAGGCCAGGAGTTGGAGACCAGCATGGGCAAAATAGTGAGGTCCCTGTTTCTACAAAATATAATAATAATAATAATAATAATAAAACCCAGCCAGGCACGGTGGCTCACGCCTGTAATCCCAGCACTTTGGGAGACTGAGGCGGGCAGATCATGAGGTCAAGAGACCGAGACCATCCTGGCCAACACGGTGAAACCCTGTCTCTACTAAAATACAAAAAAATTAACTGGGCTTGTTGGCGCATGCCTGTAGTCCCAGCTACTCGGGAGGCTGAGTTAGGAGAATTGCTTGAACCCAGGAGGCGGAGGTTGCAGTGAGCCGAAGTCGCGCCACTGCACTCCAGCCTGGCGCCTGGTGACGGAGTGAGACTCTGGCTCAAAAAAAGAAAAAAAAAAGAAAGAAAGAAAGAAAGAAAAGAAAAACTCAGAGTAGCTGGGTGTGGTGACGTGAGCCTGCAGTCAGTCCTAATTGCTTGAGAGGCTGAGGTGGGAGAATAGCTTGAGCCCAGGAGTTCTAGGTTACAATATGCCATGATAGTGCCACTGCACTCCAGCTGAGACCTCGTCCCCCCCGCCCCCCCCAAAATCTTTATCGACAAACAATAGTTGTATATATTTATGGGGTGTACCTTGATGCTTTGATACATGTATACATTATGGAATAAACAAATCAGGCTAATGAACATATCTGTCACCACACATTTTATTTTATCAATTATTTGTGGTGAGAACGTTCAAAATCCACTTTTAGCAATTTCTTTTTCTTTCTCTTTTGAGATGGAGTCTCGCTCTGTCACCCAGGCTGGAGTGCAGTGGTGCGATCTCGGCTCACTGCAATCTCCGCCTCCCTGGTTCAAGCAATTCTCCTGCCTCAGCCTTCTGAGCAGCTGGGATTACAGGCACATACCACCATGCCCAGCTAATTTTTGTACTTTTTTGGTAGAGATGGGATTTTGCCATGTTGGCCAGACTGGTTTCGAATTCCTGACCAGGTGATCTGCTCCCCTCAGCCTCCTAAAATGCTGGGATTACAGGCGTAAGCCATCATGCCCGGTCACTTTTAGCAATTTTAAAATATAAAATAACATAATTATGTAGCCATCTCGGTGTGTGATGGATCACCAGAACTCATTCTTTGCGTCTAACTCAAAAAATGTGACTCTCTTGCATCATTTCAATGCAGCACAATTTCACATTTGTATCATTCAAATTAGCACGAATAATCACACAGTACTGTTCTGGAACGAAGAATAACACAGAACTGTTCTTCAACCTATTTTACAGATGCACAAACTGAGACTCAGGGAAAGGGGAGGAAGGGGCTGACCAGAGGTTTGCCAAGGATTATGCAGGATTAGGGAAAACGAATCTCCACTTTGGGAGGTTGAGGCAGGTGGATCACTTGAGGTCAGGAGTTCGAGACCAGCCGGGCCAACATGACGAAACCCCGTCTCTACTGAAAATACAAAATTAGCTGGGTGCGGTGGCAGGCATCTGTAATCCCAGCTACTCGAAGCTGAGGCAGTAGACTTTCTTGAACTCGGTAGGCGGAGGTTGCAATGAGCCGAGATTGAGCCAGAGCACTCCAGCCTGGGTGACAGAGCGAGACTGTGTCTCAAAAAAAAAAAAAAAAAAAAAATCAATCTCTAGTTCCAGAGCCCAAGGCTCATTCCATCACATAGCAGCATCACGCGATCAGGAAACAAAAGTGTCCCTACGCGGAAGAGGGGATTTTCTCCCCAGGGCTCGAACGCGTAACCTCGGTCGCAGCCCCGGGACGCTCCGGCCCTGGAGGCTCCGGCCACGAGGCAGCGCCCCCTGCGGGCCGCAGCGCGCAGGCGCGGCGCGCCCGCCCGCCCCCGCCCCCGCCCCCGCCCCCGCCCCCCTCCACGTGCGGCGCACACCTCGCGCTCCCCTCCGCCGGGCTCGCCTCGCGCCTCCCTCCCTCCCTCCTCCCGCCCCTCCGGTCCCGGCCTCCCATTGGCTGCGGGCTTCGTCCCTCCGACCGCAGCCCGGCAGGCCCCCACCAGGCCGGAAGTCCCGCGCCACGAGCGGCCGTTTATGTCGCCGATTGGCCCAGTTGGCTGTCAGTCGATGCGGCGGGCCCGAGTCGGCGGCGGGGGCCCGTGGTCGGTGCGCGACCCGGGCTGGCGGTGGTTTCCGGTTCCGTGGGGCTGGCGGGCGAGCGGGCGGCCGGGATCGGCGGCGGCGGAGCTTGACAGACAATGAGGGCGGCGGGGCGGCGCTGAGCGGCAGCGGCGGCGGCGGCGGCGGCGAGCGACGCGGGGCCCGGGGGCGGGGCGGGGCGCCAGCCATGGACAATCAGGTGAGGAGCGGCCGCGCCGCCCCAGCGCAGCCCGTCCGGCCCCCTTCCCTCTCGCCGGCCCGCCCGGCCCTCCCCGGTCCCGGCCTCCCCGCCCCGCGCCCGCCCGCCCGCTCGCTTTGTGCGCGCCCGGCGCTCCCCAGGCCTTTATGTGGGGCGGGGGCGCCCCTCCCCCATCCGCGACCCCCGGCCCGGCCAGGGCGCCTCGGACGCCCTTCGGGACCCCGGCCGGGCCCGGAGCCCCCGGGGACGCCCCTGGTGACCCCCAGCCTGGCTCGGAGGCCCCCGGGAGACCCCTCGGAACCCCAGTCTCACCCGCACCCGCCTGGGACGCCCCTGGGGACCCCAGCCCGGCTTAGGGACCTCAAGACAGCTCTCGGGACTTCAGTCTGGCCCAAAGCTCCTTCCAGGCGCTTCCTGGGATCTCGGTCCCGTCCAGACCCCTCCCGGGACCCCTCGGATCTGCCCTGTAGACCTTTCCCCCTCTGGCTCCTGGGCCAGTCACTGTCTCCTGTCCTGTCTAGACCCTTGGCCCCTAGTCGCCTCAAACTCCTAGAGTCCCCAACCTGCTGCCTGTCGTCTTTTCTACCTCAGCTCGGGTATAAGGCGTCCCCGGCCCCCTGGGACCTTGCTCTGCGGCCTCTCTTCCTTGAACCCAGGCCCAGCCTGAGCTTTCTCTCCGCCCATCCCCTACCTGTGCCTGGGCTTTCTGTCCCCTCTGATTCTGCCCCAGCTGCAGCTGGAGCATCCCTCTGTCCTCCAACCCTAGCCTGAGCTCCTCTGACTCCCTGGGACCCTGGCCTCTGTCTTCTGCTGCAGGGACTCAGGCCTGTTTGGGGTGCCCCCTCTCTTTGTACTTGGCCTTTTCAGACTTCTTTCTTGGACCCACCCTGCTGCCTCAGCCCCCTTTTAGTTTCAGGCCCTGGTCACTCTCCCTCGGACCCGGCGGGGCTATCTCTTTCACCTTCAGACCCTCTGCTCTTAGGCCAGGACCAGGAGCAGTTTCTTCTCTGACCTGGATCCCCCAGACCTTTGAGTCACCCGCTGCCCGCTGTTGCCCTCAGCTTGGGCGCGCTTCACCCCTGGGATCCTGATTTAGGCTTCCCCACGTTTCACCTCAGTCCAGATCTTCCTCCCAGTCTGGTTTGTGGCTTCACAGTACTGCAATCTCTGGCACAACCTTTGCATTCAGCATCTCCCACTTCATCTAATGCCCCTCAGCCTATAAGTCCTGATGTCTCTTTCAGCCACTACCCTCTCCCTCCTTCCACCTCATTCTTTGTTCCCCACCTCCAGGATCTTAGAGACTCAGTTGAAACCCAGGGTGGGTGGGTTCCCAACCTCCCTAAACGCTCCCGATGGCCCCTCCCCATTGGTCTGTGTTGGTTCTCATAAACACGAGGTCTTCCTGGACCCTGGCACCCTCTTTACCCAACTCTGCCCCAACCTGTCTTCCCTGAGTTCAGAACCATTGCTGGCCCTCACCATGGGATCGTTTCTTTCTCCTCCCCTGCTGCCCTGGCTTTCAGGGGCTCCAGGCCAGGAAAGGTGTTGTGGGGCTGTGGGGGTGGCAGCTGAAATCTCCACCATTAGAGAGGGCAGTTTGGGCTGTCCCTGGCTGCTGGCACCACTGTAGCAGCGCTGTGGTTTCATAGGTGGGGGGCAAGGAACCTCCCTCCTGCCCGTCCCACCGCCTGTGGCACAGGGTCATGGAGACGTGTCTCATGCTTCTGGCACCCAATCCCCATGGTTTCACATCTGGTGTAGGTGCTGCTGCCTTCCTCTTAAGAGGTAAAGAAGAGTTTGCGGCAGTTGATTGGTGGATTTCCATGGCGTGGTGTGAGTTGATTTCCACCGAAGGGACAGAGCTGTTGCTTCCAATCTGTATTGAGTTAAGAACCCAAATGAAATGTACCTTTAGTGTCTACTTCAATGAAGTCCGCCTCTGGGCAGGTCCTGTTGGGCACACAGAGGTATAGGGTATGGCCCCTTGTCCTCCTTCCTTAGTCCCTGGGGATGTCCTAGGCCAAAGCATGTCTGTTCCCCTTGTGATGTGCGGGGCCCTGGAGGTCTGGATGGCTGTCACTTATGTAAGTGGACGGTGGAAATTGGTGGCATTCCTGCTCTGTGACAGAGGGAGATAAAGGTCTCGTTCAGGTAGCCAGGCATGGGAGAGAGCTGGCTTGGCACTGCTCAGTACCACAGCCACCAGCATCTGTGGCTGATTTACATTTAAACTAGCTCGAATGACAACTTCGGTTCCTCCGCCGCACCAGCCACATTTTAAAAGCGCTCAGTCACCACCATTGCTGAGCTACTGACCACTGTGGCGGGCAGTGCAGACACATTTCCATGGTCGCAGGAAGTTCCATCGATGGCGATGGTCTCCCTCCTTCACAAGTGTTTGCAAGGGAAACTGCTCCCAGAGGGAAGTGTGTTTGGACCCAAAGGCTGATTCTGCTTCCCCAGTAGAGTTTTCATGCTAATTTGAGAGAGGCCCAAGGGCTCTGTTCCTTCCTCACAGAGCTGGAGTCCCCTGGGGAAACTGGACAGAATGGTGTCTTTTACCTAAGTAGGTGAGTTGGCAATATAGTCCCTGCGGGACTCTTGACACAGGGAAAACGTTGACACAGGGAAAAGGCTTCGAATCCGGCAGAACCCAGGCCCCCACTCCTCCCGGGCCCCCAGACACCACAAATCTGCTAGTGCCTCATCTAGTGGGAAGCAGTGCGGCTTTCCACCCAGCTGCTGGCTTGGAGAGGCTCTGATTCTCTTTCTGCCCTCCTGCTTTCCTCTAGGACTTTCAGACCCCCCAACAAAGAAGCAGGATTTTCCACTGTGCTCTGGGCTCCCAGCTTCTCAGCGTTGACATCTTTTCCCCGTGGCCAGCAAAACGCCTTTCTGGTTCTCTTTGCCCCAACCCAAACCCACACTTTGATTCCCTCCCGCCCGCCCCAAGTCTGTGCTGGTGTTGTCTGTGGTATTTGTATTGTTTTTGGCAGGGGGATGAGCGAGTTCCCCGCTCACTTACGGGTTATGTCTGGAAGGAGTGTGGTTTGTTTCCTGGGCTGGGGCCGGGGGAGGGGACTGGGACGTGACAAGGATAAGGCTGAGCATATGCCGAAGAGATTGGGAAAGGGCCTGGGAGCAGGTCACGGGGACTGGGGCTGCCTAGGGAACTGGGAGGTGGTGTCAGCATCTGGGCAGTCTCGTTCTTCCCAAGGACCCGGGAGTGCCCCCACACCGGAATTGCTGCTTGCTGGTCCTGCAGATGCTCTCCTGGGTTTGGATTTGAGAGCGGCTGCCTTGCAACGACGTTCTTCAGCAGGGAAAGTTTGTTTCTGCTGCCAGGGGCCCATTTTACAGATGCGGAAATGCAGGCTCAGGCAGTCCTACCAACAGGCAAGGCTGCTCCTGCAGCTCGGCTCCTTCCCCCAGCCTGCCTGGAAAGCTCTGAATTACCTAGGTCGCTGGCTTCGGTGTGACAGATTTCCCGCCTGCTCCCCCCTCTGAGGCTGCTGCCTGGAAAACTGACCTGCCGTTTTTTTGTCCTAAAGTGATTATACTGTGAGGCACTTGAGGGCAGGGACGAGGGTCCTGTTTCCCTTTGTGCCCCTGTGGTTCGTGAAGGGAGGTTTTGCACTCAGCTTTGCCAGGTGCTGGTTAAATCCAAGTAGCTAGGAATCAGTCCCTTTGCAGCCAGGCCCACCTGGTCTGGTGACAGATGCCTTTATTGGGGTTGTGCACATTCAAAAAATCCCCCAAGTCTGCACCCCCACCCCCTGGAGAACCTGGGAGATACCTGGTACCCTGTCTACACATCTGTGAGCACCTGGTTCGTAAATACTCTGTCCTAGGCCTCCTCTGACAGTCTGGTCAGAGTCGGTCTGAGCAGGAACCTGCAGACCCTATAAAGGGGAACTTGCATTTCCAGGTGCAAATTACCTCTCAGAGAGCTTCCAGAGAGAAATTCATTGAGTGCCTTCTCAATGCTTAGTCATTGTGCCTTGGGTCAGAGGACAGATGGAGCCAGAAGAGGGGTGGAGGTGCTGGCCCCCTGTCCCAGTGTCTCAGCCGTTAGGGGACCAGGGCCCCATGTAGCTGTCACTGAGAGGCCCCTGCCCTCTGGGTGAGCAGCTCTTCGCTTCGGAGGACTGTCACAGAGGGGCACTCATCTTTCTCTGTCTCTCTTACCTTCTCATTCGGTGTTGCCACTGAGGGGCCCCACCGGGCCTTGTGAGAGAAGGTTCTGCAGAGTGTTCTGTTGGGTCTCATGTTGCCGTCACTCCATGGGATCACCCAAGCCCTGCCACCTCTTCTCGTGCTCAGCCTGGGAAGACCTCAAAATCAATTTAGGCTGAAGGGGGAAAAGACTCCTCAGTGCCCTCCTCTCCTGGGAAGGAAGGGGATCATTGCCTCCGAGGGAATTAGATGAAGTAGCTGAACTCCAGGTGTAATTACACCACTTGGTGAAGTGCAGGTTCTCAGAGGAAGGGCATCTATTGAGAATTCCCACCAGAAGACCAGGGGAGGCCTTCAGATAAACCGGCTGTTAAAGACCTGCCTTCCAGGGCCCAGGCGTAGTGCAGCGCTTGCAGGAAGTGGGATGCGTTGGCTGAAGGAAGTTTGGAGTTGTGCAGAGCTGTTGGAACCAGGCTGGCTCGGGGCTCTGCCAGGCGAGGGCTGCTGTAGCCCACACCTGGGGAGATGTGCACGCGGCATCGAGACAGCCCCCGGGAAGCTGCCCTCGAGGGGCTGTTTGCCTGGTTTGCCTGATTTGGCATTTGGGCCCTTTGGTTCCAAGTGCCCTCTGCCAGCTGGCCTGGAGAGAGGGCAGTGTCCCAGCTGAGGCCCTCTGCCCAAACCTAACTGTCCCCAGATGGCCCTCGGAGCACTTGTGCCCATCCCTCTGTCCGCTGTCTTTTGGATGATTTTCCAGAAGTGAGATGGACAGCTCTTTGTGGGACCGTCCTGGAAGGTTCCCCTTTGCTCTGGGTTTTTGTTGGGAAGTGGGTGTTAGGGTGATCCCAGAGGTTCAGGGAAGTGGAATTCCCAAGACCAAAGCCCCCCTGGGTCGTTTCCAGCCATCCATTCCAGAGGTTCCAAAAAGTGGCCTCCTAGCAGCTGGCGTTCCTGGTGCCTTCAAGGAACTTGCTGGGATAAAGCTGGGGGCCAGCTACTGACCAATCAGATACATTCATTCTGAGACATTCTGGAGAGCCTGTCAGTTAGCCTCTGCAGCCAGGCACCCTTCCTAGAGAGAGAGAGCTAATTGATTAGCTTCAATTCTTTGGTTCTAATGGCCAGGGAAAGAGTCCAGGTGGCATGGGGGAAGAGGGGGCGGTTACCCTTGGCTATGGAATTGCCTTAGCTGTGCTAATAAATTATCGTGACCTGACAAGTCAAAGGCGTTGGCCAGGGCTCGGCTTTTTGCCTCGCGTTGACGTGGCTTGAGCGTCTTACTGAATCCGTGATTCCTTTTTCACTACGACAGCAGAGGCTCTGTGTTGCCCCACCATTGCAGGGAGTGCCCCCCTGAGCTCTCCACAGTCCCCTGGGTGCAGCAGGCCAGGCGCCGGAACTTTGCATCTGTTGGTCGAATCTGGGGTGTGCCCTAAACTGTGGGTGTTGAGGCTCAAGTTGGCGCCAGCCCCCAGGGCATCAGTGTCGCCCGGCCAGTGCTTTGGGCCCGGCCTGCCGGCTGTGAAGATTACCCGTGGCTGCCTCGGAACCTTCCTGTTTACTTTGGCCACTGTGGCGGAGTTCTGGGGCTTCCATCCTCCCCCTCTCCAGTGGAACGGCGGTCTTTCACTCTTTCACAATAACTGCTCTGCCGCCTGCGTGCCTTGGGTAGGAACTCCCTGTCATCAAAAATACCGGGAAGTCGGCCGAGGTCTGAGTGGCCGGGTCAGTGAATAAGTGCTTCCGAGGAGACGATGTCATTGTGTGTGAGCCAGCGCCACAGAAGCAGAGGGCATTCTCCCGAGTCATGGGGCTGTTCCCATGATATATATGTATATTTCCTTTTGACCTGTAACCCTCCCAGCGGGGCAGGGATTGCCTTCCTGTTTCTTAGAGAAAAAGGCAGAGGCCCACTCGTGTAAGCATAGAGGGTGGTTACAGCCGATTGGGGCTAATGTCAGGGTTGTTTGGGTCTGTTGGAATGCATTGCTGTTCATATAAACACTTGTGCCTGGTCTGAGTATTTTTGCTGTGCCGAAGCTCAGCCCTCACTTCACATGTCTGGTGGTGGGACTTTTACCCGAGATGGTCATAAATCCGCAGCACCGGGGGTTTAGGAGTTCGCCTGATCTTTCATCTACCCCCACTTTGTTCCCACATCGATGTCTCTGCTGCCCAGATCCTGGAGTCACCTGAATTTCCTTCACCCTGGGGTCCTGCCCGTTCTCCGGTTTCGGGCTGTGTTCACACCTTTTCCAACCACTCCTCCTGGTTTCCTCCTCATGGGCTTGAGTTGCCATTTGTTTGCTATTCACCCTTTTCTGCCTGCACCCCAGACCGTACGCAGTTGGCCAGGGGGTTTTGACTCAGACCGTTTCCTGTGTCTCATCTACTTACAACAGGTTATTTCTTTTGCGTCTGATCTGGACACTCCAGCCTGATCCCAGGCCCCCCTGCAGTATGCTCGGTCCCTAGAGAGTCCCTGCCCTCTTCTTCCAGGAAACTCCAGAGGGACGATCCTCCTGAGCCAAAGGAATCTCCTCTGCCCCATTTCTTTTTCAAAATTAATTTTTAGTTGACAAAAATTGTGTATCTGTATCACGTACATGTTTTAATTTACTTTTTAAGTTGGCAAATACGAATTGCACACCTCCGCCTCATTTCTTGACCTGGCTTGTTGTGCGCACAGAGCCCTCAGCCTCTCTGGCCAGTTCTTCGGCACACTGGAACCGACCTGTCCTTATCTGCCACTGTGGCCCTGCCCTCTCCAAAGCACCATCAGAACTCCCTGACCTGAGAGGCTCTCTGGTTTAATTAATCCAGCATCATCCGGGCCTGCTGTACCGTGGTTTCAAGTAGAGGCTAAGAGGACGAACAGGATATCATCCCTGCTCTCAGAGTTCACAGGGGTTCTGGGGGCTGCCGTCAACAACCCAGGAGCCGGAGCGGGGGTAGGGTGGGATGAAGGTGCTCCTGTGGAGTTTCCCACAGGCTTCTGTGGGGACTCAGGGTTGGTCTCCAGCATGGCTGCCAGAAAGGGCCCTGGAAAGAGGGCAGCGTGTGAGCTGGGACTCGGGATGAGTAGAGTTTTAAAATGAGCTTTGGGCACCCAGGCTGCGGCACTAGGAGAGACGAAGGCAGAGAGGAGTGGACGTTCCTGGTGTGTCTGGGGCTGGCTGTGAGATTGAGCTGGAATTTGTGTGTTTCCTGCGTTTCCTCAGTTCTGGGACTGTGAGCTACCAAGACAGTGCCACCAACTCAGGAGCGGCTTCTGTGTGTGTGTGTGTGCACCAGTGTGCCTGTGCATACAGGGTGCACTCTGACTTCAAAAGGTTAGGATGTAAAAAGAGACAGAATTGAGGAAATACTCGCGTAGAAGACGTGCATGGGCCTCAGGCTTCCTTCTGAGAGAGTGATAAGCCGTGGAAAGCTTTAACATGGTAGGCAGGGGTGGAGGCGATAGATCTGCCTGCCCTGGCTCCATTGCGTGACAACTGAGAGCTCAGGGGGGAACAGAGAGGGAGGGAGGGAGTGGGGCAGTCAGCCAGGTGGCGGGGGTCTGAATGGGGCCTCGGAATGCCAGAAAAGGGACAGGTACTGGAGGGATTGCAGCCACTGGGACACACCTGGCCAGTTGCCGAGTGATGGGGTGGAAAGGCACAGCTGGGAGCTGTCTGGTCTGGGGCCCGGGAGGGCGGCTCTGCCAGGGGAGGCTGTGGGACTCAGGCCACGGTCTGGCTGGCTCCTGGCTGTCTCAGCACTTAGAAGCAAGTGTGCACTTGGCTGCTGCTTTATTTTGTAACATTCTTGCATTTGATAGTAGGTGTCAGAGCCTATCTATGAAAAGTCTGGAGAAGTTTTTACAAAGCAGGGTAGATGTTAACTGTAGGTTCTCTGTTGGTGGTTTTGGCCAACCTAGGTATGAAGAGTGCTTTGAAGGCATGCGGCTTTGTGTTCAGTGGCGTGGAACTGGCCTGAGCTGCCTTGTATTTTCAGGGCAAAGTGTCAGATATGATGGGCTCAGCGGAGGGAACTGGGCTGCCCAGGCTGCAGGCCCACCTGGGACCAGTCACGGGGTGGGGGGTGGGGGACGGAGGGGTGCAGGCTGGCCTCTCCCTTCTCCTCGGGAACCGCCCACTCTGCTTTTGAAACTGAAAGCCAGTGTTGCAGCTGATGACTTAGGGGAAGGAGAGGGGCCTCCGGGAGGCGCTGTGATGAGTGCGTGTGTGGGAATGAAAATGCTGGAGTCAACAAGCTTAGGTGGCAGAGACACTGACAGCTGTCAGTAAGATGACTTTTGATAATGAAAGTGCTCAGAAGAGCAACCTCTGTGATAGTGATCAGAGCGGTGGTGGATGCTTTTGGATTGGGTGGTCAGAGGAGGCTTCCCTGCAGAGGGACAGTCAAGCTGAGAGCCCTGTGACAAGAGGCACCAGTGTGGGAAGCCCAGGGGCAGAGCATCCTAGGCAAGTGTCGTGGCCCCAAGGCAGGAGTGAGCTGGGCTGAGCTGGGGACCAGTGAGGAGGCTGTGCGGGTGGAATTGAGGATGACAGGGAGGATGGGAGGAGACGCGGGGACTGCGTGGGCCTGTGGAGGGGAGAAGGCACGGGCGTCCGCGGCAAGGTGCTGGCACGCTGGGAAGCCATCTGTATACTCCTCACTGGGTTGAGAGCGTATCGCACTGCTGCGAGTCTCTGTGGAAAGTTCTCTGTGGGTGAGGGGACAGTCCCCTGCTTGGAGCCGTGTGCTGACCCGGTCCTCACCTCTCTCTCCCTCCAGTGCACCGTCCAGGTGAGGCTAGAGCTGGGGCACCGTGCCCAACTGCGCAAGAAGCCCACCACGGAGGGCTTTACCCACGACTGGATGGTGTTTGTCCGCGGCCCCGAGCAATGTGAAATCCAGCACTTCGTGGAGAAGGTGGTCTTCTGGCTGCACGACAGCTTCCCCAAGCCCAGACGAGGTGAGTGGCCCCAAGCCCTGAGTTCCCACAGCTCTGACCCATCTGGCTTCATTTTCCACAAGGTCAGGCTCCACCCATCTCTCAGGAGCAGCAGGACCCCCCAACTGTGAGGTTCCAGCTTGCACCCCTCAGCATAGGGGCATTGGAGCTGTGTCACCTCCAGCTGTTGAGTTAGTTGTGGGAAAAACTGAAGGAGGCAGTAGCTGTCTGTCATGTTGCGATTGAGACTGGGCTCTGAGAAGCAGCCAGGGAGCACAGCCAGGTGTACACGGATGGGAAAGGTGAAGTCACCTGGCTGGTGAGTGATCAGGAAATTGTCCACCGGGCCTGTGTTTGATTGGGGGTACCATGTTAAGAATTCTGAATATTTGGGGTAGAAAGCATGCAGGAGCTCGTGTCCCACTGCCTTTTCTCTTCCAGTCTTCCTTCTCCCTTCAAGTCTCAGGCTGTCATTGGTTAAGCAGGTGTGCCTCGGTCGGTTGTATTCTGTCAGCTCCTCCACCTGTGCTGTGGGGGTCCTGGCCTTCCTGGAGGGGTGCAGTGTGATGGGGCAGAGGCAGAAACTTACCCAGTTTCTAATCAGAGACATCCCCGTGAGGAAGTGAGCCCGAGGGGAAGGCCGTGGTGGGGAATCGGAGAGTGCAGGATGATCTGCCAAGCTCTGCCAGGGCTGGGGCCATGTCTGCTTTTCTTACTGCTGAGCCCCCTGGGCCCCAGCACATCAGGAGGCTTCAGTAAATACTTCTTTAGTGATGGGTTGATAAAGGAATGAAGGACTTTTTGTAGTGAAGTGCTCCAGGGTGGGGAGAGCCCTTCCTGGGCTGGTGACCCCTCTACCCTGCAAAATGGGGGACCTGGCAGCTCTGGGAGCCACAGGAGGTGAGCCGTGCACAAGCGTGGATGTCCTCAGCTTGAAGCAGGAGCTTCCCAGCACCTGGGACCTGGGACCCTGGCCCTGAGCCCGTAAGTGGTTTACAGCCTGGTGGGGAAGTGACAGGCGTTGACAGCAGTAGAGACTTGCTGTTCCACAGGGATGCCCGCCTGCGATTCCCTCAGTCTGCGGCTCCGCTTCCCTCTGCATTTCCCCTTTTCTGAGTCTTCACCTTCTCCCCTTTTCCTTCTTCCCTTTCCGAGCCTCTTTAGAGGGCAGCAGTGGAGGCTTCTGACAGTGCCAGATATTTATAAAGCACTTCCTAATTGTGGGGACACGTGTCATCTACCAGGCACTTCCTGCTTAGCCCTTCGTGTGCAGGATCGCATTTTGTTCTCACCATAGCCCTCTACTGCAGACGGGGGCACAGGCTCAGGGGGCAGGCCACTGCCTGTGTGTTTAGCAGGGTAGGCAGGCTGGCCCGTGGGCTGGGTCCGGCCACTGCCAGGGCAGCCTGTTTTTATTGGTGCCCAGCCATTGCCCGTTTGCGTAGGTGTCGCCTGTGGCTTTTGCGCCACATCGGCAGAGCAGAAGCTGTGGCTGCCCCCTCCTGCACCAGACCCTCTTTCTTTTCTCTGGCAGCATCCGCTCTGTTTCTCCTTCACCAGTCCCTTCACCCCCAGCCCCTTTTCTCTGACTCCGAGCGCAGGGCTGGTCCTCGGACGCTGTTTTCCATCCACTTAGAGATTATTTCACCTTTGTTCCCCACCATGTTGACACAGCACCTGGAAGATGGGGTGATAAGTGGGGCTCACTCTTGGGTTAGTTTTTTGGTTTTTGTATGTTTTTAAAGAGATGAGTTCTCTCCCAGGAGCGGGGGACCACCAGGTTGCCTAAGGAGGGGTGAACCGGCCCAGGTCGGAAATGGAGCAGGTCAGAACTCCTGTGTTGATCAGTAGTGGCATCGCGCCTGTGAATGGCCACTGCACTCCAGCCTGGGCAACATAGCGAGACCTCGTCTCAAAAAAGAAAAACAAAACAAAACAAAAGAGATGGGGTCTCACTCTCGGTGTTGCCCAGGCTGGCCTTCAGCTCCTGGGAGGCTCATGCCACCATGGGAGGCTTGAGTGTCAGTTTGCAGGCAGCCTGGAAATAAGTAGCTGAGTCCTGTTTGTACAGTCTGTCTGTGGGACCTGGAGGTGGATAGCAGCCCATCAGATGTATCAGAAAGTAAATTCCCAGCTCCCAGTCTGTTACATTGAATAAAACTTTAGAGAGGGAGTGTTCTTAGAGCACTCCAGCCTCTGGAATGATACTTGAGGTACTTAAAAAGTATCTTTTACATCAGTGGCTGCCCACATTATCAACAAAGCAAACAGAGTGGAAACATGTAAGATACAAAGTTGCTGTTACTCGCCTCCTGAGTCCTCCGGCTTCCTAGCCCTCTCTGGCCTGTCTTCTTAATACCAGCTAATCTGCTTCTTCTTTCTTGATTTTTCAAATGTAAATAATACTTACTGATTTACCAGCATAGAGAGTTAGAATTTATCCCAAAGTACCCCTTTTACCCACTGTCTTCTCTAAGTTTTTAATAGTCCAGTGACTCGCTTTTGCGTTGGTCGTCTTTGAAGACTTTGAATGATGATGTGAGCCTGTTTACCTTTGGGATCCTTCACGGAAGAGTCCCACGTCACCCTTTTTAGGGAGTCCTCTGGCTGCCTGGGCTCAGTCGCAGTTTCTTTGCCCAGTACACCCACTCAGCCATATGCTTCTTAGCCTTTTTTTCTGCTTTGCTTTTCTCCTTAGCACCATCTTAACATCTTGTACATGTTACTTCCTTGCCCATCCCTCTCCCCAGCCCGAGGATGAGGTTTGTGTCAGCTTTGTTTGCCGCTACATCCTTGGTGCCTGCAGGGATAAGTATTTGATGAATTAATGGATCCTTGCACCTGGCCAGCTTTTGTTAGTGTCTTCAGACTCTCCACGGATGAAGACGAGGACGCACACCAGTTGGACACCAGTACCCCGTCTTTTTCTTTTATGCTGTTGCACCTTTCCTTTTGGGGGCTACACTGGATGTTGTTATGGTTGTTGACAGAGACCAAGACCTTCACCCCCCGATCATAGATTGGCTGTAAGAGTTGGGCACAGGCAGTAGGCAGCACTGGTGTCTTTGATGCTGGCTGTCACCGTCAGGCTGGTTGGGATGGCAGGACTTCTTCATTCACCGCGAATCCTCAACCCTGGGCTCCTCCGGGAAGAAGCCTCACAGTCATGGCAGATGGGTTCTTTTTGGTCATTTTTGGTTAAAATTTGGCCCTTTTGTAGTCTGCCTCACGTAGTCTGTTGCTTTTGGAATCCCCCCTTCCTTCTCCTTTTTGCATTGTGTCTTTATCATGCCTTCATTTTCTCCCGATTCTCATAATCTTCAATTATTCTGTGGAATTAAAAAAAAAAATTCTTTGGCCTGGGTACGGTGGCTTACGCCTGTAATCCCAGCACTTTGAGAGGCCGAGACGGGGGGATCATGAGGTCAGGAGATGGAGCCCATCCTGGCTAACATGGTGAAACTTCGTCTCTACTAAAAATACAAAAAATTAGCCAGGCGTCGTGGCATGCACCTGTAGGCCCAGCAACTTGGGAGGCTGAGGCAGGAGAATTGCTTGAACCCGGGAGGCAGAGGTTGCAGTGAGCCGAGATCATGCCATTGCACTCCAACCTGGGCAACAGAGCAGGACTCCTTCTCAAAAAACAAGCAAACAAACAACAACAAATTCTTTGGCCGGGCGCAGTGGCTCACGTCTATGATTCTGCACTTTGGGAGGCCAAGGTGGGTGGATCACCTGAGGTCAGAAGTTCAAGACCACCCTGGCCAACGTGGTAAACCCCATCTCTACTAAAAACACACACACGAAAATAGCTGGACGTGGTAGTGTGCGTCTGTAATCCAGTTATTCAGGAAGCTGAGGCAGGAGAATAGCTTGAACCCTGGAATCTGGAGGTTGCAGTGAGCCGAGATCACACTGCTGTACTTTAGCCTGGGCGTCAAGAGCGAAACTATGTCTCAAAATAAACTATTTTAGAGATGGGGTGTTCCTGTGTTGCCCAGACTGCACTCCTACTCCTTGCACTCAGGCAGTCCTCCCCACTCTGCTTCAGGAGTAGCTGGGATTACAGGTGTGAGCTGCCCTCACTCAGTTTCTGGCTATTTTGTTTTGTAAAGTCCTCTGAGCATCTCACGCTGGTTCTCTGTGTCTTTCTTCTCTAATCGACTCTTCTCCAGCCACCTCTCTAGCCATCACCCTGTGCCTTTTTGTTCCTGTTCTCCTGAGGGTGTTATCTTTCGCTTTATTTCCTCATTTAGGTAGAGCAATTTCTCAAGTAATATCCCAAGAGACTAATTACTTAAGACATTTCTGGCCGGGCGCAGTGGCTCATGCTTATAATCCCAGCACTTTGGGAGGCCGAGGCAGATGGATTACCTGAGGTCAGGTTTTTAGTCTGTTGCTTTTGGAATACCCCCTTACTTCGCCTTTTTGCATTGTGTCTGTATCATATCTTCATTTTTCCCCCCATTCAAGACCAGTCTGGCCAACAGGAGTTCAAGACCAGTCTGGCCAACATGGTGAAGGCTCGTATCTACTAAAATTACAAAAAATTAGTCAGGCGTGGTGGCAGGCGCTTGCTAATCTATCTACTGGGGAGGGTGAGGCAGGAGAATCGCTTGAAACTGGGAGGTGGAGGTTGCATTGAGCCAAGATCTCACCATTGCACTACAGCCTGGGCAACAGAGCAAGACTCCATCTCAAAAAAAAAAAAAAGTTTCCTAAGAAAGACGTGGGCAGTCAACCCTCTGAGTCCCAGCATGTTATTCTCATCTCACCGTGGAATGGTTGGTTGGTTGGGTGTAGTTTTCTGGTTTGGGAATTACAGGTTGAGTATCCCTAATCTGAAAATCCGAAATCTGAAACTTTTTTTTTTTTTTTTTTTTTGGAGACAGAATCCCACTCTGCCACCCAGGCTGTAGTGCAGTGGCACGATCACAGCTCACTGCAGCCCTGACCTATGGACTCAAGCAGTCCTCCCTCCCGCCTCAGCCTCCCAAGTAGCTGAGACTACTGGCCTGCCA